GTTATCTTATCGCAATCAGTACTGACCAATCGGTTGAGACTAAACCGAGATAACATAATCCAGTGACCTTCATGGCAAACTCGTTCGAAATACTCGAACATCTTATTGTGAACAATTGCCTGAATTCGGCATCCCTACAATATAAGAAAAAAATATAGAAATTATAGAAACAATAAAGAAATATATAGAATCAGAGATTTAATACTAAAGAGTTTAGTTTATAATAAAACTAACGTCTCATCGGTCATAATGAAGCCAAGACCTGGTAATCCCTGTGGATCGTTCACGCTCTACTTTTTCAAAACTTTAACCACAATCCTCCAGTCATCTCTCCATCCATTCATCTCATGAACCAAATCATAACTAACCATGTTTGTCAGATGTTTAGAGAGAATAAAATATCAGAAAGTAGTTATGTTATGTTGCATCGAGTCTTTATCAGATCATCTATATATACACGTTAAGTTTTTTAAAATATTATTACGCATAATGATGACGATTCATTAGAAACCGTTTACTTGAACCGAGTTTTTTAAAACGATTTCCATTATCCGTTATATATATATATACATATATATTAAATATAAATACAATATGATCACAACCACTAAAAAACAAATTATCTATAACTTTATAATTTTTTAAAAATATAACAAAACACAATCTCTATATGTATATCTTCTTTCTATATGATTTAAAAATTTGTTTTAATTCGAAGACAAAACATATGTGTATATTAATGATTTCATACCGATAAATCATTGTTAAATTAAGGAATTCATGATTGTATTATTATTTTTTTATTATTATTTCGATATCCGAATATAATTTGGTTATTAAGGTATCTAAAAATGTAGATATACTGGACCCATTAATCAATCATGACTTAATATTATTGATATAGGTATACCAGATATTATTAAGCAAATAAACATCTAAACATTAAACGAATCTAAATCTCTACAAAAATATTACTGATTTCGATTTTCCTGAAAAACCATCAAGACTAAACACGATTGGGTCCACATCGTACAATATCTTTACTATCACGATCATTAAAGTTTTTTATGAGGTCTTGGAAAAGACAATTATAGTTAGAAGTCTATTGAAAATTTATGACGACTGTCAGTACATTTTCCTATGACAAATAGTCGAAGTATATATATATTTCTTAATATGTTTACCTTAGGCAAGTATCCTGATTTATAGTATGTTTACTTTAGGCAATTACTCTGACTATACCAAAAATAATGTAAATATTTTCCATAACAAAAGCCACAGAAATCTTATAAAAAGGACATAGCCTGACATCGAACCTAACAATATGAGCTATATAAAACACATATAATTCATAAAATATAGTTTGATAATACATCACAAAATTAATATATAAACAATAAGAAAATATTAAACAAAAGCACTGATCTTAGTTTTAAAAGCAGGCATAAAATTACTTAGTAATGAGTTCGAGAACACAAAGAAGAAACAGTGTAAATAGAAAGGCAGAATAGAGGAAATCTACAAATAACATCAAACAGTCGATGCTCTCGTCTGTAGTTGGTTCCGCCTACGAAAGTGATAAAAAGTCATTACCAAAACGTTTTAATAAACATTGAAACAATAATATATATAAAACCCAAAATTTTAAATACTCACATCGCTCTAAATGCATCAACTTCTGCATCGACAAGATTATACAAAAAATCTGAGCATAAATCATTAGATCGGAGAACCACAGACTTCTTATCGACTCCTAAACAACAATAGACAAAAGTTTTATTCAATATTCATATTTTAAGACATATATGAGAAAATATGTATATACCTTGGCCATTTGTCATCTTCCAGAACCTTAACACCCAGACAACCGATTCACATGTGTTTCTCAGATATACATCATGGAGATTTATTGCTAGAGAACCACGGGCGTAACATGCTAACCGACCTTCTCTTCTGCCACAAGAAAAAATAATACGAAAATTAAAATATTTGGTTAAGACTTTATATGTTAACAGTCTTTTACATATAAATCAATGGACATGATTCATAATACCGTGCATATACTATCTCAAATCGGAGATAAGCGAGATTCTCTTCATAAGCATCATTATTTGCATTGCAGAGTGGACCCATATTCACAATAATTCCCATAACGTCTGATAATAAATGAAATAATAAATTGAATTTAAATCTATTATAAAACTTAACATATATGTTTAGAAATTATCATGCACACCGATAAACTTGATTAATTCTTATAAAAAGTTAAAGATGAAATTCTTACCAATCAGATAGTCAAAAGGAATGGCTCGATACACAATATCATAAAATCGGAAACAATGAAGATACAAATTGTACGACCTCGTTCGAATAGGGGTGATAATAGTGACAGAAGTTAACTGCAAACGATGTTTATTGATCGTTGTAAGCATTGATCCAGTAGCTTCTTTAACATGAAAGTTGAAAATCCGAATCCACTGTCCCTGTTTGATTTCTTTCCAGCGAGTGGGGAACTCGTTTGGCATAATGGTTGCAGCGATCCGAGTACCCTAGAAAAATAACACAGCCAAAAATAATCAGTGAATAATAAATAGAAAACATAAAAGAATAACTTCAAAAAAAGACACATACTTTGATATCAGACAAAATCATCTCGATAGTATTTCCGAAGAATGTTGAATGCTTCCAGAACCTGACCACCTTGACAGATATTAACCTTTCTGTTTTGTAAGTATCCAAACATACAACATCGACAACATCAGACATTTTAGAAACTTTTTTTTTCTTTTTTTCGATCGAGAACTCTGAATAAATTTTATAAAGAGGAAAACTAAAAGTGACGGAGTATGAGAAAGTGTGTTAAATATGAAAAGGACAGACTATGCAGTTGAATAAGCAGTTATTCTTTCTTATAAATTTATTTTTGTTTGAATTATTTTAAAAGAAAAAATTTGAACAGTTACCATTTCAAGCTCCTTATTGTCAAAACCAACAACAATCCCACTAATTTATGTCAAGACACTTCCATATCGATATTGACCGATTTGTTCGTTTCACGTGCTAAAGAGAATATATTCCATGTTTTAAGTTTCACCAAAGATACACACAACCTCAATAAGTAAATATACTATTTTACTAAATATAAAACTTTGCTAAATTGCAACACTTTCCATAAAATAATATGACCTCTCTCTATAGCTTATGTTATTTGGACAATTTTATGTTTCAATATTTTAGGAAATGATATATTCATACAACATCATAACAAAAATGACATTTATGTGGACTTATATGTTATAACTTTATGTATCTACTTGGGCAATTTTCCTTAAAATTATATAAAACAGGAAACCTGGAAAGTCAAACGGTTATGTGCAAACATAAAGTCGCATAATCTTCCCCATAAAGAAATTGAAAAATGAGAAAATTGATTATTATTGCACACCTTATAAATATTGACTTGAGAGTTTCTTTTCAAAAAACTTTAAAATATTTTATAAGTAGCCTTATCGTTTGTGAGAGCATTCATAAGAACATGGCGAACACAAACGAAAAAAAATTCGATGAAAATGGCTTGTTGATCATCAATCCCCCACCATTGGTAATGAGATTCGGTGTCGTGGAACCTAAGTCACCACCTTCAACAACAGATTCCGAGATAGAGCAAGAAGAATTATGGGAACAATTACATTTACTCACTGCATCAAATCAGAAAGCCAAACAGAACACTCCTCAGGTAATACATCCTATTCACTAAAGTTTATTTTAATCATGTCTTACACAATGAATTGTAAAATCTGTATATTCTACTTATGGAGGATGAAAAAGGCAACACATCTAATGAGACACCCCAATCAAGTTGCACAAAACGAAAAACACGACCTAATTCTAGATCTGGAGATAGGGTTGAAGTGCATGCGTTGTGGTTTTGTGGAGACAGAAATTCGACACATGGATACCGCCGAATGGGTACGTAATCATAAATATATTTAGATTAATAATGAAAAGTTGTCTAAAATCTATGTTATTGAGTTATTATATTTTGTTATTGATTGGCCATTGAACTCTATGTTTTAGAAACAATTCATGTTTAAATATAATATTGAGTTAGTTTAAAGTTATATAATTTTACAATAATTTAAATTGGATTGTTTGTGTCTGTGCTTAAAGGGAGAGGAGAAAGAACGTAAAAAGAGGAGGTCTGGAGTTTAGGGTTTAGAACCATATCAGTTTCAAATCAATTTCATGTGTTTTTGTTTTTCCTGTTTGCAATGACCACTTTAAAGACAATATGTACTTGGTTTTATTTTCTAAAAACTATTAAGTTTATTTCGATGACATGATAATTTGGTTTTGGAGCATTCTCGATATTTATAACTACGTGATAATGTTCATCATCTGAAATGTCAATAGATGCCCAATAATATGCTACAATTTAAGTTTCGATAAAATATATTATCGAATTGAGTTTGTCATTGGAATATCCGACTACAGTTAAACGTCAGAAATCAAACCATTAATAAAAGAAAACATTAAGAAACCTGCTTAATTGTACATGGTGGAGTAATATATATATATATATATATATATGAAAAAAACGAATCAGATTGATAAAACCGACTATATATACAACTTCCAATTTATATACAATATTTGGGTTCAATAAAAATAATAGTCGATACCCATATCCATTAGTAACATCCTTTTGGTGTAAACCAATCAAATATAATGTAATATATGTGCTTTACAAACCCATTTACGATAATAGATAATCTAAACTTAATACATGATATAAAACTATTTTCTCAACAAAAATGTTTTATTCTCTTTTTATAAAACTTGATACATCAGATCCAACTTAGTGAAAAATCGAAAAACATCAAATCTATTAGTAAAACTATAAAATTGAACGTAATGGTCTTATATAATAAAAAGAACTAACATATTTCGAGATACATAGAGACAACAAACCACAAAACAAAACACAGTAAAAAGAACTATCATATCTTGTCAAAAACCTCCTTGTAGACGACATTCAATGTTTTGCTTTGTGGTTTGTTGTCTTTATCGGTGATCAATATCTTCAAACCTTCTCTGGATGTAACCCTCGATACAGCGACATAGAGTTGCCCATGAGTAAATACCGGCCTTGGAAGATACAAACCAACCTTTTCGAGTGTCTGTCCTTGGCTTTTGTTTATAGTCATTGCAAAAGCTAATGTGATAGGAAACTGCTTGCGTCTCATCCTGAAAGGAAGTTTCATCTCCGAAGGAGAGAGGAATATCCTAGGAATCAGTACTTTCTCACCAACCTTGCTACCTGTTATTATCTGAGCCTGGAGAACATAATTAGCCATCTTAGTAATGATGAGTCTTGTGCCATTACACAACCCATTCTTAGGGTCGATATTTCTTAGAAGCATTACAGGAGTACCCTCTCTCAACTTCATGACATGATTAGGGAAACCAGACATCTTGATACTATTTAAAAACTCCTCGGTATAAATCATATTGTTTGAACCACCTTTATTCTTACTGGCTACACTCTCCGAGGGTACTTCAGATGCATCATTGTAATTGACAATTTCTTCAGCCGTATCAATGCTATCACAACTAAGATAGGTCCTTTCAACACCTGTTATATACAAAACAATCGTTGTATTATATAAATATAAACAAATAAGTTAAGAGGAACTAAAACAAAATAAACATACCTGACAACTTTGAAAGCATGTAATCATTTATCGTATCTACATCATCGTTTCTTGGACTCAGTATGGCACGGTCTTGGAAAAATTTAGGATCAGTCTCTTTCGAAAACGAACTCCCATAAATTTCTTTGACGATCGTTTTTATAGGATCTTTACAGTCTTTAATCAACAGATCATCAGGAATATCAATCACGGCTTCACCACTTCCATCATCATTTATCGGTCCATCACCAATGTCTAAGATCCACTTTGTAAAGGCACGTTCAAGCATCGCACGGCTATTATATCCAGCTATAAGTCGCATGTTCTGTGTAAGTCTCAATACTCTACATTTGTACCACAGAGGTGACGAATTCAAAGTGACCATAAGTATCTCTGTCTTCCCGGCATTTGGAATCACTGACAATATTTGCCTGAAATCCCCTCCTAAAACAATGACCTTGTCACCAACGGGCTTATCAACTTCTAATATATCACGCATCGTTCTATCTAGAGTCTCGAAACAGTCTTTACTCATCATCAACGCATCATCCCATATAATGAGTTTAGCAATCCTTATTAGGTCGGCAAGATTCGACTCCTTCTTGATTGAACAAAAGGTAAACTTATTAACCACGATAGGGATTGCAAATCTTGAATGCGCAGTTCGGCCTCCTTCTAATAGCAACACAGCAATCCCACTCGATGCAACCTTAAGAACAACATCACCCTGGGAACGTAGAGCAGATCCTAATAGACTCCACAAATAAGTTTTACCAGTACCTCCAGAACCATAAACAAAGAACATACCTCCTTTGTTCTTATTTACTGCTTCTAGGATCTCATCATAAACACTTCTCTGTTCCCTGGTTACAGTGGCTAACATCTGCTTGTTTCTAACTCTAAGAGTTTCGCGATTGTAATTCCTCTCATCCCGAATAAGAGGATTATCACGTGACTCCAAAGTAATATCTTCAGGAAACAGCATAGGTGTGAATTCTTTTAAAGATCTCCCACTTACACGTAAAAGAAGTTCCATTTCGACCAGAGTAAAGTCTTTAACTTGCTCCTGAGATAGACTAACAGCTACACAATTTCAAAAAAATTACAAAAGATAAATTAGCTATCAATATCTTAAAGATATATAATAACAACAACGCAAACAATAACTATACGACTTACTTTGATCCCTGACAGCCTTTCTGTAATTATATATGATGTTATCTGATAATACCTGCCATGTAGCATCCCAAACTCTAGGAGGAATGGATATACTATGAGTAGTGAGCAGGATCACAAAAAGACGACGGAGATAATTGGCAGAAAGCCACAATCCGGCCTCATTGATGGCCTCAATATATTCTTTGTCATCATTCAATAATCCATACGCATAGCAAGCGTCTTTGAACGAAGAATGTAGAACTTTGTTGACCGTTTTTATATCGTCAAAACTACGTGGTCCTTTGACTAAATTAAGTAGAAGCCTTAAATAATACGCTTCACCTGCCCCAATGGGTACGTACGTGATTCTACCAAGAGTAACTCTCCTTGATCGTGGTGTCCATATCCTATTTGGTTTATTCCACACAAATCTCGTAGGAAGTTGCGCATAAGTTAACGTCCTCGCCAGTTCATACTTATTGTTGCACTCCATCCAAGCAATAAATTTTGACGTACCAACTGAGACACGATTAATAACCTCGTCACCTGGATCATCCTCGTTGTATATGACCATTTGCTGGTTTGGTAAATGAAAGGGTAGTTTAACTACAGAAACTGTGCGATGGTGAGTATGATTACCGAAAATTCTCCAGGTAGACTCCGAAGGTGCTACATACCTATATAGAAAGACATTATTAAATAATGGAAGATTGGAATTTCAAAGATATAAAATATGTGAACAAAATGTTTAAAACATATCTACAGTTGAAGTGTTTCTTAATCTCGTTTTCTTTATCATCATTCTTGATAGTTGCACGGATGTAGTCAGCACCTTTATGAATATATTTGAATAGATACTTTACTGATCGAGACTGTACACACCATTCGACGTTGATATGAGCCCTATAAAGCAGTGTGAGGCTCCTATTATAAGGAACCACAAATCTATTATCACATTCAATACCCTTTTTAACGATAACTTTCTTGTCTTTACGTTGCCTGTATATAGGATATCCAACATCATCTATTTTAGTGATCGGACTGAAAGGTTTTGGAAAATACTTTGTACATTTTCCTTCAGCCATGCAAACACTATCCTTATTCAAAGCACCACATGGTCCATGCATCATGACATCTCCTACTATCTCATACAGCGCTGGAACAATATCCTTGTCAGGAATCTCAGCACATATTATCTTATCAATGTCATCACCAGTTGGTAGCTTGTGACCAGCCTCTAAAAAAAGATCGATGTGTGTATGAGGTAGTCCCCATTTTTGAAACTCAATCGTGTAGATCGCTGCAACGAATAAATTGTAGTTTTTAAAAGATTAGTTAGCATGATCATCTAGCAATGGTATGTTGCTAAACGAAATAAGATACTTAGTTTAATAAAACATACCGGCTTTTACGACATCTTACACATTTTCTTTGGTGAGTCTGTGCATGAGATCATCTAGTTTCATCTTGAACACTCGCATACATATATCTGGCCTATCCTCTTGCTTCAAGTTATGTCTTTTTAGGTGCCTGGTAAGCTCAGGCCATTTGGGATTACACGTAAAGGTTATGAAAAGATCCGGAAAACCAAAATGCTGGCAAGTAGTCATTGCATCTAGATATGTTGCACCATATACCTTGTACCACCAGTATAAGAAGAAGGTATAATAATACGTTTACCCTTGTCAGAAAGATCAGTGTCACCTTCATCAACAATTTTCTTTATCTTGTCATAATTTTCGCAATGAAGTTTAGACTGATTCATTGAAATGAAACGTAGTCTATTAGTCTCAATCATCGTGTACGCATCCACTAAGAACTGCTGGAATAATCTTCCAGATAAAGGGATGATTGGTGACTCGCCAACCCTCTTCTGTATGCGGAAAGCAAAAAACTCTCTCATAGTAATATGCAACCTTTTCCTCATTTGGGTATGTACAAAACCAATATCGATACCAAGTCTGCACCCGTCCTCGCCATAGGGAAACAATAATGGATATTGCAAAGGCAGATACGCAGGATGTAGTTCACTGATCCTTTTGAGATTCCCAGTCTTTTTACACTCGATGATGATATCACGTGCATCTATCTCATGATCGAAATCATTAGGTATCAATGCAGCAACCTCATTAGTAGCTGGTAGATTCTCAGTCCTTCCATCACTTTTCCTGTCACGCTTTAAAATTATCCTTAACCGGCTTGTATCATCGTTAGGATCAAACCTTTCTCGAACGTTTCGTAATGCATCCACATGTTTGTTATGTTTATCTAGCATATTTTTTATTTTCTCAACAAGCTTCTCTCGCAATTTATCAGTCGGTCCTGTTTTCCTATAAATTTTTTAAAATAAATTGTTATGACAGTTAGAACCACATAACATTTAATAACAATACATATATGTTTTAAAATTGATCTCAATAATTAAATTAAATATAAACCAAAAGAATAATAATCATACCCATAAACAGCTATTCGGTTAGATGTTTCATTTGCGGTATCATATATATATAGCTGTAAAAAGGCTAGTTCTTTTCCAGGAGGTGGTAGCAAATCCCCTATAGAATGGTAGTTCTCCCCACTCATCTGGAAAATGTAAGGACATTTCCCGTCGTTGATTTCTTTATTTATTTTTCCTCCAAGAGAAGTGAAAGAAAACATCATATTATACGCCCGGATAAACTCACGAAAGTGATCACGCAAATCACCATCATTATACATCAATGCTAATAGCGAATTCGGAGGGGTTTTAAGAAGTGGAAGAATGACTTTACCCTGACCACAACACATGGAGAATATAGGCTTCCCACGACGATATCGTTTCCCCAACCTCTCTCCATACCACATATAAGCCTTACAATTACCACATATATATATAGGATCACCATCGTCGTAATAACCTGATTAGAATACTATTCATTGCTTAGTATTAATTACAGGATAGTTATATATTATGTATTAAATGATATATATTAGTCCAATGAAAATCATAACCTCCATCTTTCAGACCATGATTAACTGATTCCAATAAATCTGTTCTAGTAACAACGGTCTCACTTGCATCCTCATCACAAGAATCAGAGGATTTAGCACGTTTTTTGGGTCTTCCTTTCTTTTTATTACCAGGCGTCGGTTCTTACATATCCTCACTTTCCGACATAGAGTCTTCATCATTATCCCTATCGGACTCAGAATCAGTAGCAATAAAGCAAGCAAACTCTTCGGTGTTGATAGAAGTAGCCAAAAGATCTGTTTGTTTTTTTAACGGAAAAAATAATAAGTGTAAAACAGGCATATAATTATTTATCTACATTGTAATTACTAAAAAAGAAGATCAAACCAATAGCTTCTTCTCTTTTTCTCCTCTCACGCATGATATGCATTCTTCTCTGTTGTGCATTACGAATTCCCTGGGGTGTTAGATCAGGAACTTCATCGATATTGTAACGAAACAAACCTCCAAGTTGGTCAATATCGGTTATACTGGTAGGAGCATATCGTGCGTTCTTAGCATTACCACCTACAAATTCCAGTTAATAATAAGCAAATTTATAACACGTGAATGTTTTAAAAAGGTAATTTACTTAAAATATCACCTTTATTTAGAGCAATCGACGAAGATGAACCTTTTTTCCGAGGACGCCCAAGCTTACGTTTCATTTTTTCTGGTGAATAACACGAAAAAAAATGTGTGATCTAAATACACAATCATTAACAAATTCTATATATATAATATTATATTGCGCGATAATGCGAAATATACATTTTAGCTTCTCATAATAAAATGAGATTTTGGTAATAAAAAGAATTTCGAAATAGAAAATCTCACGATAATGTTAACATTACTTATTCTTCGCGATAATATGCATATCTTCTCTCATGCACCATAATACTCCAATATCGAAAATTTACATTTTTCGTGATAATGTTAAAATACTATTGAAATACTTCTACATTACAATAACGCGGACCTATAAATAATTATTTACTATTCCAAATATGCAGAGTTAATCCTAAAAATATACCTTTACATTACAACAAAAATATTCTCCTAATATTTTTACGAAAACCGAAAAGACTATCGTTTTATTTCTTAGAACTTGAATATTCTCCAAAAAAATATGGTTATTTAACATATCATCTCAATAAATTATATCACATATTGTTTCGTGGACAATTATATTATAATTCGTTACGCAGGCGTTTTGGGGATAACTATGAACATCGAAATTCATACATGAAAATAATAATTAAAAAATATTATTTTCATACACTGCGTCAAAAGTCAAATTTTATTCAAATCACATACGATGTTTAACACAAACCATAAAACTTAAAAATAAAAATTGATATAAAATAATTCCAAAAACATTAGCACGGAACTCGTAACATCAGGGTCTAACGACTGGATATCAACTCTCGAAACTGATAGACCTCGAAGCATGGCGAATTTAGAATAACTTGTGTGCAATCATACAATGTAGTTGCCAAGAAACACCCTGTATTATCGAACAAACGAAAATCAAATCATATTTATCGCATATACTGTACAACCATCTCATATCAAAAAATAAAAATACCTCATCGAACAATTATCTTCGCAAAACGAATGATGCAAATAATGACATCTTGTTTACATCCACCCAACTCATGAAGAAAAGTTTCAGCATAATCACCTTTCAAAAAACATGATAAACGTCGATTCCTAAAGTTTTCCATCAAACAAATATCAGTCTGAGTTAAACTTAAAAATTCGTTTTTTTTAATTCTATTAACATAAAATAGATTACCTTTCGTTTTCGAGATCGAATCTTATTATAGGCTGTCTAGAGTATCCTAAGGATCCAATTCTATCGTGAGAGTTTTCAACGTTGACAATCTTACCGATTAAATCTGTTTTTTTTTAAACAAAAATGAATACCAATTAATCAATATAGTAATTGAATGAAAAATCAGTTATGAAAAATATACCGAATACTCACTCACACAGAAGTTAAAATCAATAGTCCCATTCATAATATCTTCGAAAAAAACGAACTAAAAATAACCATTGATATCTAAAGTATAAGAGCTTGCACACGTTATATCACTGGTAAGTTGGATCATATAAGGATGTGTACTTGGCTTAAATTCACCAGTAAGAGGCAATATATTAAAATTTATTAGAAGAACCCAATCTCCCTCGTTACATATCCTCGAATACTTAACATGAAATTCATTCGGTGCAGTTACATAAATCTTCTGTCCCTGAAAAGTAAGGAATCAAACATTCAAACATTTATCATTACAAAAACTAAAATATAATCATGAAATTGATGTGTTATACCTTCCAATCCCCCATTATAAAGTCTAACGTGCGGTCACATTCAGGAAATCTTTTAAATTTCCGTAAAACTTTCAACTTAGTCTTCCATATATGCTTGGTAGGATCACGTTCGGAAATTCCAAACAGATTTTGATCATATTTTTAATGTACGGCGATAGATAGGAAATAGCCATTTAGTTAAACGCAAACCCAGAGCCTCAAACAATTACAACGATTACGTCCAAAGGTACCTTAAATAAACATAGCAGAGACAATATTTAAATCAAACTTTTGTTTCCTATTTATACAATTTAAAATAAAAGGATATATCAGATATTTTACATTTTTGAGATACCTTAATGCTTATTTTACATTTTTAGGATAACATACTACTTTGATAGAAAATTTCATCTCTTGATATATTCCTTCCAGATCGGGATCGCAGGGATACCTTTTCCGATTTGTATTACGGATCTATTATTTTATATTATTATAATTATAACAATTTTCCGATTTGTATTAGGAATATATCGGAGGTGAGACATTTGCATCGTTATATATAAAAACAATGTATTAGCATTACCGAGTTATATATGACGACTACTTTTTAGGTTTTATAGGCACTACATCATGTCAATCACTGCTTGTCTTTTAGCAATGAAAAACATGACTTACACCAATGTCTCCGATATAACTCCATGAAACCAACTACGCCGTATTCGTGTGAAAATACTGCGTATTTTCGAGCACATCAGTGAACCTGACAACACTCTAGATTTGGTGTTGGTTGATAAAAAGGTATTCCGGTGACTCTATATGTTCCGTGCATATCACTTCTCTGATATACATATTTTTGTTTGTATAGGGTGATAAAATACATGGATCAATATCAAAAGGGTTTATAGACAGTTTTACATCAGAAGTGAAACAGGGAGATTCAATTATTCTGTATCATTTTGGTGTAGTCCTTGTCATCGGAGACTTGAGACCGACATTGCACAATTATAAAATAATATGGAATTCTCAAACTTATTTTTTAAAGATCCCTTTCTATGATAACAACAACTACCTAAGTATTGCTGAATTTGGTAACATACATAACAATCTCCGAGACCCATTGTTTTTCGTTGGTATGACTTTAGATAAATTAATAAATAATAACAAAAAATATATGTTATTTTATATCTATAAACTTTCTCAATGACTAACTAATCTTTTTACTATATATAATAGGACACGTCGCAGTGATTGGAACATTTAGTCATAAATCCTCCAAGAGCCAAATAAAGTGGGGTGATGTTTACGTGGAGCTCTGTAACGAATCGTAAGTTTTTAAAATATGTTTCTCAATTGCAATCACTGTAATTATCAATTTTTACTACATTATGTGATTATTATATGCCCAATAGGGATGCTAGGTTGCAAGTGTTATTACGGAATGACTATGCACTGGACCCGATGACTGCTTTATCACGGAAAGAACACAAAATTAACATTTATGTTATACGATTCGTCAAACTGTTCAAATTCGCACATGGTTGGGCAGCAATAACCGCTTACGATTTTACCGAAATTTTATTAAACCCTAACCTACCCGAAGTCGAGAGAATGCGGACCACAATCACAGAATCAAACGACGGTGTTATATTAAGTTTTTGAATAGTTTTTTTTTCGTATGTTTGGTTTTCTTTTTTATTTATGTTTTCATCATTTGACTCAATAAACGATGGTACTATATCAAAACTCTGCTTATAGTAATAATATTCTTTTCGTATACCTTATTTTCTTCCATTTTTAAAATATATGTTTATTATATATATACATATTTATTTTCCTAGTAAAATTTTGTAATACTTTTAAATCAACAACGGTATCAATGGACTATGAACACAATTTTGCATTGAAAACAAATAGTGACACTCTTTGTAAATCAAAAACAATAAGCTAAAATGAGATGCTTTGCGAAATAGGTAAAGTTTATAGATATTGAATAATTTATTTATTACAATAAAAATAAACAATAGCTATGTTGTTCAAGTACACAACTTATAGAAAATGAAATAAAAAATTAATATCTCCTACGGATACTGATCTTCATATCCATCATCCAAAGGGGTAAAATCAACTGAAGTTTCAAGCCTGGAACAATATGACAATATTATAAAATCATAAAATAGATGTCAATAAAATACGTATACAGGATATAACATCAAAGATGGAATTTACATACCTCATCTTTGCTATTGCCACTTCTGGAGTAGGAGGATCCTCGAGAATATCAGATATGAATCTTTCCGATTCAACTATCCACTCATCTAATTAATTACATATACATATTCAGTACGCATGTAGAAACAATAAATTTGTTAAACTTCTGATTAATTGCTGTATTGAATAGATATTAATAGTTATTATTTACGTACCTCTCCACCTATTGAAAGAGAAAAATCGCAATACAATAATATGCCTTGAAGACTTATCACGATTCGTCCAAAGTTCTTCAAATTTTATTGCCAAGTTATCCCAATCAATACATTTCAAGAAATTTCCACTTTATATATTTACACCACCATAGAAGAAAATTAACATATTTTAATATATCAAAAAACCCAAGTCTGACACCAGATATTCTGAGGATAAGTTGTACTTACCCGAGATCTTCGAGTACAAAACGAATAAGTGGACGTTCTGTGGGTGTATCTGATGTATTGGACATATGAACTCCTCTCTGAAGTTTCTGAACAAAAGTGACAACCCCGAGAAGATCAACTGCAAAATTAAACAACTAAGTTAGAAAAAATTCATTTCTCAGTTAATGAGATAAAACAAGATAATAACATGCATGTAAGAAACTTACCAAGATATCGGTCTGTTTGAATCGACGCAAGCAAAATATCTATGAATGCACAGAAAGAGTATATTTCTCTGGAAGACTTCGGATCGGTTTTCTCAGTGATTGTATCCTCGTTGAAACGTATATGACAGTTGTTTGATGATATACTTGGATGGGGTAATCTGTCGGTAACTGCAAAATTACCAAGAAAATACCACTCTCCTTCGAGCAATGCATACTCGAATTTGTCAAGTATTTCAAATGGCATGGTACACAGGATGCGATTGTCCTACACAGTTTTAGTAAAAAAGAATCAATAAACGATTACATTCCCAAAACATGAACAGGAATAATCTTTTAAAATCTCATAAACTTACAAATTCATCAGCGAGAACTAACATCCGATTAGGGCAACCAATGAGAGTAAAATCATAATAATTTCTAACTACTTGGACACAAATATGTTGCCCGCCATTTGTCATCTGAAGTTCAGAAACCCTATTACATGGAGACATTCGTTAT